TTCATCAGACTAATATGTTTTATTGTTCATTGATAGAAAGGTCCTTACCTAAATTATCATAAATAAATTGCATTATACCCAAGGTCATCTGCTCTCCCTTCGGGAAAGGGTATACTTCTCAATAGCATTTTTTTTTTAATAATTTTGAAAGTTCTTATTCTTTGGTGACATGACAAGTATTGTTTTTTTCACTTGTTTTACATGTTTTTTTCCACATTTTGTACATCTCAACAATGACATTGAACTACCAGTACCTATAATATAATGCAGATGAACACTAAGCTATTGTTGTGGAACGTCTTATTTACAGTTAAGGTAATTTAAGGACGTGCCTCCATGTATGTAGTTGATGCGTGCATGCTTGTATGTGTGCCAGAGACAGGATATGTTGATGTGTTCGCCTTTTTGTGATAGCGCGGATCTGATGCCTGCTTTATAGTGATATCTCACTGGAATACAATGCCGAAGGTACCCAGCACACCATTCCGACAGATTTGCATTATGATGACAATGGTTGAACCAGTTGTTGGTATTGCCTGAAATGCTGAAAGTTAAGAAGTGAATAACAACTACCATGTTTAAGGACTTTGGTATGTCCCGGCCACAATACAAAACCCATGGCCTTCCTGACCTTGCCGAACGTTCCAAATTAAAGCCAAAAATGAGGTATTGTCAAGCAAGGCGCTAAGGAATAAAAGGTAGTTAGAAGTAGAGAGAATTGCAATTGGTGTAGCAGATTTATTTTCATCGCTATTGTATTCCCAAGTAGAGAACACCAAAGCAAATCTCCAATTATGCAGGGGGTTCCACATTAATCGCCTCTTACGATGCATCGGTATGTCCGTAAATAACTCACATAACATACCCCGTTTTAACGAGTTGCGAGAGTTTACGACAGCAACATGCGTACAAATATGAATCACTTATGTTTCATAAATACACAAAACCGGTACATAATGCATCCTTACTTCATCTTTCGTTGTTCTGTAAAGATACTTAATATAACAAAGAAAACAGTTGAATACATTTTTTACTGGCAATATATTTTTAAGTGTGTATCATTTACGGAAATTTCTAACACGCTTTTTTCTGTCAACTGATATTGAAATATACGGCAAGCCTATAAGTAGCTTTTACTTTATCGTTTATCGCTAAGCGTGTGTGTCTGGTCCTTCAGTTATTTCAATGTTTTGTAGTGTCATCATTTACAATCACATTTTACCTCCTTATCTAATGCAAGTTCATTATTGGGTCTTGCCCCAAATTAAATGTCGCTCGGGTCATTTTGAAATCCTTTCAACAACATCTGAATAAAGGACTCGCATCAATAGCCTGCTGAAAGGAAGAACTTTAAATGTATTTTTTTTTCAATTTAGTGACCTTGACCAACATTCACCTGAGTCGAATGTGTTAAAATACCTGGACATCCTTTGCTATGAATAAGAGTGATGATAGTTGACCAGTAGCATGCCTGTATAAAAGTATATGATGAATGGCAACGACTAGAATTTAAAAGTCACAGAGGTGAAACATATTGAAACCTTAAACGACTTATTTTCTGAATAATGTAGAGATCGTGGTGCATGGTCATAAGCTTGGAGATCAATTGCTTGTACCTTGCAGCTTAATATAGTAAAGTGTTTATTACTGTGAACTGTGGATCTGAATGAAGGGTGTAATCCAACGTCGAGGATTACTTACAGAAGTAAGTGATAATGGATAACATCTTCCAAAAGAGCAATAGTATGTTAAGTAATAACCATTAGCTTTTAATATATAAAATTTAATGCTGCCTTCTTTTAAGGTCATAGATGTTTTCCATTGATTTTCTGGTTTTCTACATAAAGATAAATGAAGGTTGTGAATACGACCTTTATTGTGTTTATATTTTCACAAATTGTGTTCGGCTCAGGATGTTTCTAAACAAATTTGATTATCTAAACCTTTCAGTGTTCCAGAGTAAGGTTTTAGATATAATGTATTATTGGGATCTTCAGAACAAGTAAAGTAGTATTATTTCATAAACGTTGATATGCATACCACAGGAAGCTACTAGCTAAATATCATGACCTTAAGCCTATCAGGTATTCGGCTGTAGTCGTTTAAACGCAATATCATTGCTTCATTGCGAGCTGAACGCCTCTTTGCAATGTTTAAGTATAAGCGCATGCAATACTCAAATTGTCACAACATGTACTTTGACGCGTTAGCCATTAAACTAAAGGACATACATGATAATTATTATTTACAGGGCAATTGAGCTTATACTGTGAAGCAACAAGACAGTATACATCACGGATATACATATACAGTTAAAATACAGCACAACGTACCTGTCGATGATTGTATTGTAAGTAGTAAAATGAACAAGAAGACCTTGAGTTAATGATGATAATTAAATACAGTTTGTTGCTGTAAGTAAATATCAGACATCATGCCGTATACATACACCCCTTATGTTACTGTGTTTACACACATCCTGTAATATCCTTTTGTAACCGGGAATATAGTAGTGGGTATACAGTGTGAATGCCCACATTATATGTAATATTGTTTTTGACGTTCCTGATCAGTGACCTCTTTATGAATAACAAGTACCCCTGGTCATTATTTTGTATAAATATATCTTATACCTGTTACAAACCGCCACTACCTGTACTCGCTATAAACAGTACATATGTCTCGTGAAAAAATGACACTGACTAATAATTAGTGACTTATTTGTATTTTTATTAAATTCTTGCTTCATATATTATTATAGGTATATTTTGACAAATAAATGCATGCTGTCAATATTTTGGGCATTGTAAAGATATATATTTGGTTAATACACACAGAGCAGTGATACTAACATTATTTTCCATTTCAACAAATTTTACTTACAACATAATGGTAGCATGTCGAAAGGGGTTAAACAACAGGTTTATAACCCTGTTCGTCCTCTCCACTGGTGGTATATGGATATATATCAAAAGGCAATGTTTACTGTCAATAGTGAAATATTAGAAACATGAGTATATAACTTTAGACGAGGTAACAAAGATAAATACAAATGGAAATGTGAAACCTGATGCAACCGTAGATTATGTTATGTTTTTCTTTAAACTTTTGGTACATACAAGGATGATCAACATTTATAAAACGTGTACCATACAATTTAATTATACATATTGTATGTAGCCTAAAACAGTAACATGCTTTGCTGTTGTAGGGGAGGGGTAGGATAGCATGCATACTAATACTCCGATTTATTGATATTTTCTGTAATGTGCAAGATGACGTAAGATAACCGTACATATAATACAAATCCATGTGTTACGTTTAGATCTCCAATTGACTATGCATGGTTAATTAGCAGACCTAGTATTTCTACTGATTATGTTACCAAACAAATGATCAATTTGTGAAATACATCAGGGTTTATTTACATTCGAACCTTAACAAGCATCGGTTTCCCAAACTATTTTAATTTTCGTTTTCTTTAGGAGATTCTATGCGACTTGCCTGGTTATAATGTTTGGCAATCAGAATGGTAGGATGAAGGGTTATCAAGTTTATTTAAATTGACAAGTTTCATCCATGTTACAGAGCTAAAATTAGTGAAAGCATTAATCATTAAAATAACTTCTTTTGAATTACCAAGGGTCCTAGGATGAAAATATTCGACTAGGAGCACCCTTGAAAAAAATACCTGTTGTATGGTTGAATATCCTCCAACCACATACACGGTATCGGGATCAAATGTGTTATAATGTATAATGACATCTTCTTAACATTAAAGAGGTCAACAATGATGACATTTTTCCAGTAGCACGCTGGAATGAACGGCATTGAAGATTGCTCAAATAGGGTTAAAATGGATTGAAGCTGTCTTACAGCTTCCTCTAAATAACTTCAGATTCATAAGGTGCTGGTATTGAACCCGTCGTACGTTAGAATGAACGTGTTTGGAATCAAAGAGGCAAGAAACAAATGCATGCAGGATGAAAAAGAAATTAGAAAACGTTAGTAGTCTGCAATTAAAGTCAACCGAACTGTTTGACGAATCGAAATATCGGAGAAACTACTGAATGTTCCAAACGAGAAACAGAAACCAGAAATGTTACATTTGGGAAATAAAGGGAATAAGTATATTCAGAAATATAAAACACTTGAACACATAAAAACTGTTCAAAAAAGTTCGAATATGCACCGACCTCACACAAAATGAACGGGACGAATAATTAAAAGGGACTAGTTCATGCTATGTTAAAATGACATAGGAGCTTGTCACTCATAACTTTTGTTTCAGAAGTGTTACGAGATATCTTCTGCTGTATTAACTATTTTCAATTTCTTATTCATCTGGAGTTGTTACTTTGAGTCACACTACTTATTATTTAGATAATTAATCAACCTCATTACAGCATAGGGGTCGCAAAATTGAATATCAGTCTGAATTTTTATTTTTGAAGAGTGAAAAAAACGTAGTTTTGCATTATTATACTTGGGAGAGAACAATTCCTTTCATGTAATGCTGAACTAATATATTTATAATCCAGAATGTAAGGATAATGGAATATTTTGTGCAAATTTTAATGTAAAATACAGGATTTTTCAATCTTGTTTTTGTTGTATACCATTGAAGTATAATTCGGTATACAACACTTTTACCTGGCTTTTCCAATTGTGTTCCTAGTTAAGAAGAAGGTATTTTGAAAATCTACCGTATTTATTTGTACATTCAAGATTATAAAATTTAAAATTCGATGATTAATATCGTTTTTCAGCAATCGAACACTTGTAACTTAAAAATGTCAATGTTCCAAGCATATAATGGTCTAATTACACAAACGAGTAAGTAACCCCGTTCCGCGAGGGGCGGTACTGCACAGTGCAGTGGGATACTTTTTATAACGTGATACTAAAGTATGCGTCATGACCTTCACAAGGTCAGATGCTCACTTGTAACGTTTCGGCTCTTTTTTAACCACAATTTGAAGTTACAGGTTTTTTTTAAATAAAAAAGCAAAACATTTACCAGTGCCAATTATGTTCAATTTACACATTTCAGAATTTGAATGCTATCCCCAAACACCAATAAAAACAATAGGAATGACAATACTGTAATATAAAAATAATTCCATTACTATATCTATTATTTTTAGGTATTCATTTATGAACACACTAATACATATCTTCACAGAGAGAGAAAATACATGGACTGCTCTGATATAACTAGATTAACCAAAGCACGAGATTTTAAACATAATCTCAGCAAATCTACAGCATATCTATGTACATTTTATATTAAAACAACCGAACCTTTTGAACTTAATATATCCACAGCTTCTTTGACTTAATATGTAGAACCACTGGATAATATTTCAGCCAAGATATTCCAATCTAGGTCATTTAATAGAAGGTTAAAATCTTTCTAGGTATTTGTGCACGTGATCAAATCACGCATACACGTATCCTATCATGAGTCAGTGTTAAGATTTGTGTTCAAGTGAGAAGTGTTATATATTCATTTTTTTCAACATTAACTAAAAAAGTAAGCTTCAAATCTTGACAGTTACCTACAGTGACTCAAAATTAGTCATAACAAACCAAGATTTTCTTTTTTTAAGAATTATATGGCCATATATTTAACCAGTAGCGTGTTTTGATGAAGGATTCGAAATTCGTTTAAATGATTGACTTTCATCCATTTTCACGATCACATACGCTGATTTTTTTAACGATTTCTACGAACGTACTCTGAATGCCAAGGCCTACAGTGATGATATTTAGCTATAAGCATGCTCGGATGAAGGATTACCAAGTTAATTCAAATTAATTTAGCCTAAATATGTTATTTTGTCGAACCTCTTCTCCTGAATAACCATATGTCCAACGTTAATTGAATCTGGTCAGTACAGTACTATGGTGGCGTAAATGGGTGCGAAGTATATAAAACTGAACGACATTAAAGGACATTCAAGATCACATGATTCAAAATTAGTTAATAATTAAAAAACATTATCAAACACCATGGTATATCAATAAGTGAAATAAGGTTGGCGCACAACGGGTTGGGTGGATCTTTTAAGCATCACATAAATATAACGTAACTATTAGCCAGTTTAAGCATATCCATGCATGATTTATTTGATTTATAGATACTTGAAGGGTAGCACAAGACAAGACCAAGGCTATTTTATGAATAGTTATAAGTGGGTCTTTTGACACAAACATTTGTCTGGTAATAAAACAAAAAGAATAAAATGAAAACAAGCTAACAATTGATAAATTGCATTACATAATTGTCAAAACTGGTACAACAATACTATTTCAATAGAATTTCAATCAATTAGCAACTTATTAAATCTATACAATAATTCAGCAAACACCACATCTTCTATAATACTAGAGTTATATAGATGTATACATACACATTTAACAAATAATTAAAATGTTAAGTTTTGTGGCGTTACTTCGGATATTGCATAACATACATTTACATTTGTATTAACGCAAGTTCATTTTCACATGCAAAATACCGTATATACACCTTTTTATTTTGTTTGACGAATGTTCCTAGGGAATATGACATCATATGCATTTTCAATTTGGCCCGTGCTAATTGAAACGGAATGACGTGAATGCACACATATCTTTTACTAGACTTTTACTTTACATGTTTCTACACCAACAGGATTTCAAAAACAATCTCGCAACTTAATAAAAAACACCTCATGACACAAATTCTAGCCTCATGCGCCAGTATCCATTTGACCGCGTCTTCGTCACGTGTCAATGGAAAAATCACACTATTAAGGGTAAATACATACAGAGAAATGCATAACATAGTGTCTGTGTGATCTGTACAATGGAAATATATAAACTATAAACATTCTTGCTAGCGTTTCCGCCTGCTTGACTGGCTGTCATCAGGCGACTGATGAATCCATTAATAGGCGAATATCCTAGCAGTGTTGTCATGTGGTTAGGACAATTCACTTGTTATTGTAGATATACATATAAAGACATGATAGGTTTACATCTCCCTCGACGACCTACCTCTCAGTCTATAATGCTGAAAACACAAACTAATTTTGTACCATTAACAGTTTGGAGCGGAACACAATATATACCTACCAAGTAACAAACGCTGTATTTAAGTCAACAGACGTGTAAATATCTCCCTGTGTTTTTCGTAAATAGCTCGTGAATTGCCCAGTACGTTAGAAAACGCAATATTTCTACCATTATGTAACGGTTGTATGCACATAAACTTATACTAGTTGCATGCTCATTATTTGTTACCGCGGCTGTCACAATCGCAGAGGTGAGGGCTGCTGACATGGTCATTGTCAACAACCACAAAGCTCTGGGACTAATATGTATATTGATTATTATTCATCACGGTTCCAATCTACGTTCGATAGGCTAAGTCCAATAGAAATATTTTGAAAAGCTGACGTATTAATTGAAGCGTCCTCGAGTTGTTCATTATAACGATTTCTTGTGAACCAGATGGATTAACTTCTGGAGCCAGAACCTCCCTCAGCAATTGCGGTGTTGATGTATATTTCTTTGTCACCTAAAAATAAGGATGCAAAATTATTATTGTTAATGTTAGCTTCTTGTAATTTGATCTGAACGCGATTAGCGTGTAACACCTGTTCCTTAAGATCTTTTTTTTTTGCATATAAATTATGTGTATGTCATCATGCTTCGTTTCGCCCTATTGTTTGCACCCAAAATATATACATTTTACATAAGTGAATGCATTAAAATTCTAAATAAGGAAACCATCAAATACAAAAACACATTAGAAATAACGGACAAAAACAAACATTCGAAAGTACACAATGACCTGCTTCATGTATAAAAACATATAAAATAAGGTAATCTTCTGAAATGAGAATATTTTAGAACCATTGAAGGTCTTTTGATGTTAATTTATATAATTCCAAAGCTATGTTTAAAGTTGTGCAATAATTGGATTCTAGTTCATGTATCGCTTATCAGAAAGACGATATCGATACTTACCAGATGTTGTACCATGGAGATCTTCATAGACGTTTGGGTTAGACCGACCCTCCAATGACTCGTATTCTCTGCTAAAACAAAATTGCAATATCTTATAAAACATGCACCATCCAAAAACTGCCAGCACAAAAACGTTGGAAGACACCAAATGATGTGACAACAATATTTAGAAAGGGTTTACAAGTCATGGTAATTAATAATGTGTGATGATACAAACTCACTTGTCATTGACTGGATCTTTCCGGCGACCTACAAAACAAGCAAAGTTACACAGTTACATTATCCCCCGGAAACATTAATTTGTATATAAATAGTAGTTTGTTACACTTTTTATTCCATGCATTTAAAACCGAACACACTCTGTTTATATACAGATGAAACAATACATTATTTCAATCCAACATTAAAACAACCTGGGACCTATATCAGGACCAACAAGATATTTAGTATAAATTGATTAAACCTGTTTCATAATTGTAAAGTAAATATCGCCAATGCATACTGGCCCCCGTAATTTTTGTTTACATAATTAAATAAGTGGCATCTTCATTACATCTGAATTTAGTGATAACAAATTGGGTTTCAGTAGGATAACGAATGTGCTGGTGTCGTACGCGTCAACACGGACTTTCCTTGTCAACACGGGATTTGTTCGTCAACATAATGTCAATGTGTGTTAGTGGCCATCGCCCTTTTCAGATTTTAATCCCACTGAGGAGGGATCAGTCGGACTGACTAGTGAGAAATGGACGTCAGCAGCCTAAAACGTTGACAGTTCTCGGGAGCAGTGGCAGAAGAAGATCCCGATGAGGTATTTGAACCGACTTCAGTTTGTGGTCAACGTCAAGGGGTTCGTTCACGCAATATTTAGTATGTGAACTTGATTCTATGTACGGTAAATAAACGCTAGTTTTGTCGTTTCATGGAAACCTTTGAATGAAGTTTATTTATCTGACACAACATATATTGATGTTTACAGTATGAAATTATAGTATTTCCAGTTCATTAAAGACAAAAATAAATAATGTTTCTGTTGGAGGGCCAGTTTATAGAAATGTATCATTATAATACGACGATTGCGTGTGTTTTACCTGGAAGATGACTTCCTATTTCAGAGTACACAGATGCTTTGGTAATTTCATTCGTATCGAGTTGTTCATATGGAGATCTGTGAAGATATAAGATAAAACGAATAAAACGTTGAAATTATTTGTTTTCAAGCATTACTATACAACAGTTAAAGGTCATATTACTATTTAACAGTTAAAAGACATATTACTATTTAACAGTTAAAGGTCATATTACTATTTAACAGTTAAAAGACATATTACTATTTAACAGTTAAAGGTCATATTACTATTTAACAGTTAAAAGACATATTACTATTTAACAGTTAAAGGTCATATTACTATTTAACAGTTAAAAGACATATTACTATTTAACAGTTAAAGGTCATATTACTATTTAACAGTTAAAAGACATATTACTATTTAACAGTTAAAGGTCATATTACTATTTAACAGTTAAAAGACATATTACTATTTAACAGTTAAAGGTCATATTACTATTTAACAGTTAAAAGACATATTACTATTTAACAGTTAAAAGACATATTACTATTTAACAGTTAAAAGACATTTTACTATTTAATAGTTAAAAAGCATAACACTTTACCCCTGCATCGTAAGAGGCGATGTATGTAGAATCCTACTGCAGAATTTGGATTTGCTTTTGTGCCCTTTACTTAGGGACACAAAAACGATCAAAATATATCTGTTGCACTAATTGAAATAGTTCGGATCTTTTTTCTACTTCTAACTACATTTTATATCCTAGTGCCTTGCCCGACACTACCTCCCTTTTGGCTTTGCTGTTGAACGTTTTCCAGTTGAGGAGGGCAATGGTTCTGTCCTCACGCCAGTACATACTTTGACGAAAACGTACCGAGCTAACTGTTTGTGTTAGTAAATTTCCGTTCTCCATGTTATTTACGCGCTAGAGTAGAGCTGGTCTTGACCTAGACCCGGACAAAACACATAACTGATGCGTAAAAGCTCCTGGTAATTGAAAGGTAGGGCGGGGCCTATGTGTATATAATTGCATTGCCTTTCGGCCACGGCCCCGTCGGTCAGCGTGCACAGCCTCTCGGCCACGGCCCCGTCGGCCAGCATGCACAGCCTTTCAGGTCACGGCCTCTCAGCCTTTCACGAAACGGCCTGTCAGCTAGCGTGCATGGCCACGGCCATTCACCATTCTGTGTCGGAAGCTACACGAAAGCAAACAATTAGTTGTTAGTTTTAAATATACCAGCGAACGTGTTTTCAATGATAGGGTATGTCTGAATAAGACTGTTACCCATTACGATCGCTCAATAGAAAGTAGCATACCTGACAAGGGCGAGCTGTCGTGTTGCTTTGGGTCCGCTACATCGATAGATCCCAGGCACTGTGATAGCTCGTTAGATCTGTAAAGGAAGTTGTAGGGACCACCGAGTGGTCAGGGTAATTCAAGGTTAGCAAGAGGGGTTCTATAGATTGTACAAAATAGATGTATGTAGTGCTGCCGAGCTTATATTGTAGCGAAACATCTGCCGTACAGAGCTGTCCGAGCTATCGCCAGAATACATATAGATGGTTGAGCAGTGAGAGGTCAGCGAGTTATCGTCCGCGGGTTTGTATATATGCACCTTCTGCGCGATCAGTAATAGGAGCGCTCAATTTGTATTAGGTGCTTTATTGTTATACACGTAGTGTTTTTGCAAGTACTGTTACATTGACACTGATTTGTATATATCCGCTGTATATATTTAATAGTACAAGACGTACATGACCACAAATGCTCGGACATATGCAATGTTTCAGAGCTAGATTAACTTACCTGTATATATTTGCATCTGTACTAAAATATGGATACACCCAAGTTGGGTAGGTATACTCGCCGGAGCCTCCAGTGTGACTGGTACGTACCAAAGGTGAAACGTCACAATACCAAAGTCCTTAAAAATGGTTACTGCTATTACCTGCTTAACGTTCAGCATTTTGGGAAATGGTATCAACTAGTTCACCCGTTGTCAGTACAATGTGACCAGGCGGAATACTATATTGGGTGCATTCAGTATGGTTTTTCATTGAGCTGTTAATTGGACTTTGAATTAAAAAAAAACAAAAACATAACGCTAAAATGTTGTTTTGAGTAAGTGTTGATTGTTCAAACAAGATTACTGTTCGTCTCCCTCTTCATTGGGTGTCATAGCTGAAACAAAATAATATAATTTAATCAGAATTCCTTTCTCTCTTTTGTAAAAATAATCGAATTTCATATAGTCTTGGGTATTGTTTGAATTGTTTTGTATTGCAATGTATGAAACCTAACCGACATGGCTTAATTAACAAAACATTAAGAATTGTATACAGAAAAGAACCTGTTGATGTTGGACATGATCACTAAAACAACGTGTACAAGAGTATCAAGCGTTTTTCACTGTATTACCTCGTTCTGAAAGTTGTACGTTCTGAAATTCCCTTCGTTTCAGATGTTGACCTTTGCTAGAAAGCAATATACAAAATTATTATATATTTTCAATTCACAGCTTTTACTTCAAAATATACCTTCAAATTTTGGAGCATTTTTTTCTTAACATGAAAAAATGTTTTTTATTAGGCACGTTATTCAAACCAAACTTTATACAACATTGTATTATCATTAATATAAACAAGATATTAACAACAAGACGACATGAATAATTTTACACCGAAAGAGGATATATGTCGATTTTTTGTCAGGATTAATTTGCTTACATGAAAGGCAGTCTACCGTTTCCTGTAAAATAACATTGAAAGATGTTAAAGGTAGTGTATACTTGTTTATCGATAACAGATAACGAACGTAAATTGAAGTTATGCAATTGTCTTAAGAAAATTTAATCGGTGATATAGACAAACAGACTGTACAAGTGAACAAAGTATTGATCAATATAAAATGTAAATAAACTTCGCACATGATTTTTGTATTTTTCTTGTTTTTTTTTTCAAATCAAGATTTGAGTAATATATACATACGACTTAGGAATAGTCCAAGTCCAACTGTTAACAGGAACGTGAGAACACTGGTACAAATCAGGGCAACTGCTGTTACATACATGCTGTCGGTACCGCGGGAACATTCTTTATCAAACAAATAGTATTATCTGTACTTTTGTATAAACCAATCAACATATAATAATAAATGATCTCACTCATTAAGTGGACTGTTGTAATCAAACAGTAAACTAAAAAGTGACAAATATGCAAGTCGTTCGAACTCAACAGTAATAATATAAGGGCAAAATATAAAAGGTAGAAATATTTGTATGATAAAGAGACAATTATAAAGTAAAGAAGAATAAGACCATGTGTTCCGGAAAGGTGAGCGTCCTCTGCTTAATCGCACTAAACAGTAAACAGTTATGGGCAAACTATGAACAGAAGAAATATGATCAAAAGCATCGACCCGCATACCACATAAGTACAAGACATATGTATTCAATAAGATTGCGAATCAAACAATAGAATGATATTATATCTCTCAACAAAACCTTATTTTGTCGGTTTGTCAATAGGAAATCGACATCTATCAATATAAACTCATGTTGTTTAAAAACAGCCCATGATATATTGAAAAATTGGTGGACACTGCAAGATTTATTTTGCCAGTCGTGGTAAGCTTTTCAATAAATTCATACTCATAATCATTAAAGGAGTATTGGGAGAGAAAGGGTCGATCAGGAGGAGAGCAATCTTGTTGTAACTGGAATGTCAAAAGTCTAATGTAAAATCTTGGCATCGGGCTCAAATACTTCAAACGCTTGAAATATAAAATATAAACGTTATAGCTAGAACATAAACTCTTCACATCGGTAATATAGTTACCTGTAACACGTTAACAAAAGGTGATTGTAAGTAACAAACCTGCCTGAATTGTACATCCAACAGTATCAAGTGATGTTGTATTTCCGTAGGTGTTGTACGCTGCAATCTTAAATGTATATAGTCGTCCTCCCACTAAATTGTCCACATTCAAGCTATACATGTTCCTCCCTTCTTCAAATGCAATTGTCACGGGATACACTTCTTTTGAATGTTCAAAGGCGTCCATGCTGAATAAAACACGGTAAAACTGGGAGTTTCCACCGTCCTTCCACGATACTTTGGCAGACATTTGCTTTCCACAGTCAACTGAAAAAATCTTAGTGGGATTCGGATTTTCTATGGATTTAATATAAATGAGTATGTTAAAACATGGTCAAATATTACAATAGATTAATCAGATGTTATGGATGATTATCAAGGAAATGCGGCTGCAGCATTTAGATATGTTTTTGAGTGAAAATAGGTTACTTTGAGTCTATGACATCGTATCAACAATACCGTGCGCAAACGATCCACTTATTTTCCACGCATCGTGCTCAGAATCGAACACTTTAACGATTGTTTGCTCCGTTGTGGAGTACACACTACACAATACCGGTACACTCGTGTAAAAATGCGGAAGAATTTGATTACTGATCAATTTATTTTGTATTTATCCCAAGTATAAAAAAAACATGCTACAATGACTTTAAAACTGTCAATAATAGGGTCCCCCAGGTTATCATGTACCAGAACAGGAAGATAATATGTGCTAGGTGTCTGTGGCTTTTGTTTTGCTTATAGTCATCATTATTTGATACAAAAGGTACATCGGTGATATGACAGTTATCTTAACAAAACTGGATATTTAATTTGTTAATTGAATTCAGACTATTGCTTTACAGTGTATGACACATGGCAATTTCACACATCAGTGAGTAGGTTTTCCGGGGCTAAAAACGTAAAAACTACATAACTCGACCCATTTTCCAAGTTTTCACCATAAGAGAAAGATAAACATCAGGATTGGATTATGTAAATACCTATTTACTCAAAAAACAAAAAGTCTAATCGTAAGGATTGCTTTCACAATGTCAGTTTGCATGTGTTGATTAAATTGATACCGCATATTCAAAGCATACATAATGTATCTCAAAAAAATATGTTTTCCAATAAAGTATATTAAATATCTTCAATAGCACATGCTACGCCTGCAAAAGATATGGTCTTATATACACTAACAACATACCACGAAAACGCCAAGAGAAAAACAAGGCAAAGCGACTGGAACATACTCAAAATGACGGTTTTGTGCTAAAATGATTGATTTACCTGTAGCAGCAACTGTGAAAGTGAGTGTCCCTTTGCCCTCACTGTTGATTGCAGTTACATTATATAATCCAAACCAGGCCTCTTGTATGTTCGTACGTGTCCCCATTGACAAAACTGACAGGTTCGATGTAAAAGGTGTATTATGTATAACAAAGTTGTCTGTCCCGTTGTTTAGCTCAGTAAAAGAACTATTTGAAGAGTTTTGGAAAGTCCATATGAATGATGACGGTTCCGGGTTTGACAGAAACACGGCATTCATAGTTAGATTATCATGAGTAGCCAACCCCATCTTTCGGTCTGTGAACACTCTTTGATCAAGGCGCGGCGAACCTAGATGGTATGGAATTTTGAAAAGACACAAAATAAGACCATGTATTGATCTGGTATCACACACATGTAGACGCACACACACACACACACATATATATATATATATATATATATATATATATACACGCATACTACCGCAAATCAACTCACATACATGCAAATATGATCTAATATTTAATTACTGTCATAAAGCTAGTATAATGGTGTATGGTGAATGTGGGTATGGGTTGCTATAGGAAACCTATTTGTTTGCGAATACCTGGACATCAAACAATTCCGTAAAGCTACTCCCCACCTAAACTTGTCATAATTATTCTATTGTTTTTTTTTCTACTTGAAAATTTTCAATTCCTGGTCCAAAAAGAAAGGTTTTAACTTTTTATTGATATATTTATAAAATAGATTTAGTTCTGAGATTTCTTTAATTTCTTAAAAGTTTGGACGAAAATATAACTCCTTGTATTCGCTGTTTTCTTTACCGTAAGTTACGTTATGAAGCTAACGGTGTGTTTTTATTGACGTTATGAACCGTGTTAGCTATACTACACTTAATGATGTTTTCGAGCTGGCGGCCGGGTTCAGTCGACGTAATGGAGCGTACGGCTTACAATAAAGTGCGTAATCAGGTTTACAAGGTCCTTTGTAATCAGCTGGCGGTGTGCTCTTTAATGTCCTGATTTGTTTGGGCCTCTTTTCATTACGTTTTCAAACTAACGGCGTTTTCTTTAACGACGTTGTTAATATTACAGCTTACCTTAGAGTACGCCATTTACATGACAACATGTTTTATCGACGTTATCATCATTCAAGTGAATTCACAATTAACATTTCAACATATTTTACACAAAGACATTTACGTTAAGTTTGAGTTGTTTTCATTCTGCGGTAATCGTGATTACGTTGTTTCTACTTGCGTGATTCGTTACAAGCGAAAAAAAAAGTGCAGAGTTCACGTCAGCGGTTGCCAATAGCGCCAAATGCAAACATAATAATATTTTGACGATAACAATAGTTCTGGTGACTTTTTGGCGCATATTAATGCCAGTTGTTCTGTCAATATCTTACAAAAAATTGCCCTGTGTCAGTATATAGCTGTAACATAGGTAAAAGTGACCATCTAGCTGCCACATCCTGGTGAATTCACTGCCCAATTAATTAATTAGTGTTTCACTATTGTTTCAATCACTAATTCCATCTGAATGGTACGTCAATGGGCACACTGTGTAAGGAGCAAACACTACGTAACCAGTAGTCGTCAGAAGCCCTAACAACAAGCCAAGAGCATCGGGGATATAATTGAGAAGTCTAAGGAATCGTTATCCAACACAACCAACCATAACTAACTAGTATATAAAAGCAAACAATAAAGTTTGATGAAACACGATCCTCATATCTAGACCAATATGTTAATCGACTCCGTGATTATTCAGAACGTATTGGTAATAAAACAATATAAATAGCAAGAAAGTAAAAAGTCAGACTGTGGACGTTATTTCGGACAAACTAGAAGTTATTAGTGCTGACTAAATATATAAACATGTAAGTGTCGTAGCGGATCTGGATCGAAATTCATGTTGTTGTTTTTAAAAATCTGCATTTGACCTTTTTTCAATGATTACAATTATTCTGATTTGGAAACATTTTATCAACATCTTTGCATTTATAAGAATTCATTTTATTCTCGGGGTGGGTGGGATTCTTTTTTAAGAAAAAACTGAAATCGAGGAAAAAGACAAAGAAAAATGTAATTTAATACATGGAAAATTTAGGGACACAACATTTTAATATACATATTGTAGGGGATCATAAGGTAATCGAGACACAGACGTTTTACCTTTGTGTGAGCTCTTTGTAACAAACAGATTAAAAAGTAATAGTGATGATATAGAAAAGAAATATCTAAGCTAAAGGGAAGTATTAAACTTAATTTTTTTGACCACGGCGCCTTGTTTATTCCTTTAACCCTTTCACCCCTATGCAATTTTAGTAAACTCTTCCATGCTTTGATCTTGATAAGTCCATTATGGTCTACAGTGGTGAAAAGGTTAAACTATTTGGCTAATAAATGTAAAATTTGGTGCAAGAAAATTAACTTTGGCGAACATTTGAGCATAAGAATGTTCAAAAACTGGTGTGAACCCTGGATTGAATGCATATATTTTCATAGTTGCCATGTTTATTAAAGCAATAATGCTATTAATAAGCGCCCTGGTCATTTCGTGTGATATATAATCAATATTTGTCTAGATCGTGATCTATGTCAATTCTGTTTGAAATCTGTAAAATGCGTATTATCGTACTTCAAGTCTCGCACAATTCTTTTATTTTTCATTTTTGTTAGATACTCTCTTAAGAGTTGAATCTCATAAAAAACGCTGATATCGCCTTCTAATCTCAAAAGTATGAAGAATGTCGTATTTATGGGTAGGGGTAGGGATAATTTAAATAGTGACGTTTTCGCAATATTTTTAGAATGCTTGTTCTTAAAAAATCGAAAGTGTTCTTGCTGTTGTCTTGTTTTCAATGTCTCAATGTACACCTACATTTTCTTAGAACATGAAAACAAAACCTGAAGAAGTCAATAAAAAACGTAGGGAAAAACAACGCTTTCAACCGTAAGTTTGGCACTTGATTTAAAACACCTCCCATTTAGTAATGGGGATAACAATGATTTTATAATTTTGAGTCAATTCACCCAAAACTGCAATACTGTTGCACAAAAACAGAAAAAACTCCCAGTTTCTTCCTCGAAATAGGCACTGTTGTTATATCATACGTCGGGAAAATAATTTCAATTATGTCTTTGTCTGGTTTCCTTTTAAAGGAGCATTGATGATCTTTGACACCTGGTCCAGAAATAAGGTCGAAATATCGGATTATTCGAGATATGAATGGTCGGGTAGATACGTTTGTCGATTTTGATTGAACAGGAACATATGGTCGTAGATTTTCGATGGATTATAGTAGTTCATTGGGTTTTCAACTTACATCTGAGTACAATATTAATCTGGCAACATGGTTTCAACGACTTTATCAACCTTTGCCTATTTCACTGACTCTAGTTTCTTTGTTTGTGCCAGGATATATGGTCATGACTTAGAGCTTAGGTTGTCATGTTACTCTCAATCTGGAGACGAAGGCAGCAGGCGACGCAAAGATTAGCCTTCTATATTTACACTATTAAATTATAACAGAACACTTGCCTACGTTATTTTAAACATACTGCCTACGGATAAACAATAGTTTCTGTGACTGAATGTACTAAAATAGATATATTTCGATGGAAATAATATAAACATCGCCGTTTGTATTATGTGCATGTATCGGTTGCTTACTCTATCTATCATTCTATTGGTTCTAGCTTAAGAATGGCGGTTATCGCTTAGCCTCAAATGAATCGCTGCACAAAAAGTTTATTTAATCATAATGTCGACACGAAGTATTCTGAGTAAGAATATATATATAAGCAATGACTTAAGATTAATC